TGCTGCTACAGTTGGGTACATTCCTGCAATGTATTGGTTAGGATATTGTTATCAATATGGAGCGGGTGTTAAACGGAGTTTGGAAAATGCTTCCAACCTTTATCAAGAAGTAATTCAGAATGGAGACTATTGTGATGCAAGAAAAAACTTGGTACGTCGATAATTTATAATTTAATTTTACAGCACTTTTAATCTAATAATAACAATTCTTTTTTTTTAGTCTAAACTAGGGAAGTTCGATTTCCGGAAGCTATTTAGGATCTTTAACTTTTAAAAAAGATAAATAGCTATATAAATAAGTAGATAATGACGTGCTTCCGCAATTTCGACAGTTTTCTATCATTATACACTCCGGAGATATAAGAAGCTTCCATTATATCTACAAAAGATTACGCGAGTGTTGCAGTAAATAGTATTAAATTTTGTTAATACCATAATAGACATTTTAGATTTCATATTACATAATTTATAGAGATTAAATATATAATTTATTTATTTGTACTTTATGTTAAGGCAAAAAAAAAATTTTTTTAAGGCGAAAAGCAGTAAACGCAAAACTTTATTAAACAATTTGACTTATGCTATACATCAAAAGGTCTAACATATGAATCTTTTAAATTTTTAATTTAAGTATATTACACTTGAATAATAATTTTATTTAATTTTAAATTTCGATGTTTATTTAATATACCGAATATTTTTATTTAAGTTCTTAAATTTGCTTTTTAAATTTTTCTAAAAAAAAAAACTATATAACAATATATTATTACTGTATAGCTTATTTTCATTTTTAAAGTTTTAACATTAAATAATAAAATTATAAATGTTTTAACAATTCTATACCTAGCACAATGTATAATATAATATATATTTTTTAAAATCATTAAATTTATGTTAAATTGATTAAATTAATATTTAAAATAATTAAGTTATATAAAATAAAAAAGTTGGAATAAAAAAAATTATAAAAAAATACTTTATTAAAATTAAAACCATCATGAAAATTTTTAATTAGTTTATATGTGAATAATGTTTTAGAATAATTTTTATTTAATTTTCTTGAATTATTATTTTTAAGTTTAATTTTTAATAATTATAATAAATAATTAATATACTTATGTTCGTTTTAAAATATATTTTATTTACAAAAGTAATTTCATTATTTTATAAATTATGTTATGTAAATAAAATTTTACAAAAATTATTATTACACTAATATTTAATTATTTATTTTTATTAAAAAAAAAACAATCCAATAATTTTAATTTGACTTCAAAATTTTATAAAAATTTTTTTTAAAAAACAAGATTTTTAATTTCTTTCTATTTTTAAATATGTATTTTATTAAAAAAAAAAGTTATTAGTAAGTTTCTTAAATTCATGTATTATAAATTATGCAAAGTAGAGATTCTTATTATATGTTTTTATTGGAAGTCAAGTTATGGTTTTTAATTTTTTTTTGTGTATGTATAATTAATTAATTGTTTTTAGATTCAGTTTTTTAAAAAATATTTTAACCATATCCTTATTGAAAAAAGGCATAAGGTTGATATATTAAATCCAAGTACAATATTTCTTTTCTTAAAAAGACGGAAATTTTTTAATTAAGGATGTTATTGACCAATTATATAAAGCCATAAAATATATTAAGAAACATGCACCTGATTAAAATTTTGTCCGGCAGTTCCGCAGTTGAAAGTACCGTAATTTTCGGTAAATAGTAATTCCTTCTAAAAGTACCCATCATTTTTTACTAATAATAATTTTTTTTTTTTGTCCGAAGCAAAGCGTAGGACAATATACTTCTACGTCAAATGGTGTTTGTCGATCGATGAATGATATTTTGTACACGTGATTTATAGTATATTAAGGTTATTCTTAATAATAATAATAATAATAATAATAATAATAATTAATGAATCGGAAGTGAATTTTTAATTAGTCGGAAATCAAACAAATAAATATATGAATCAAGGGTGTTACTATTTCGATGGGAAAATTAGTTAGATACCTTTTTCTCCAAAAATTTATCCAATAATTATTACAGTACTGAAATTTCACTCAACAATGCAAATGTGACTGTATGTATGCTGTACGGAAAACATCTTAATTTATTAATAAAATCTATTATATAAATAATAACTCCTGTAATGCTTCGGACTAAAACGGTTTCCGTTCCCTAGTTATTTTGAATTTTACTTTGGAATGAAAGAGACCCAGGATATAATATATGCGGCAAATTACAGTTGTAAACTTAATTTGTCAAACGATTTTGAGCGGTCAAACCAGTTTCTGCAAAATTAGTCATATGTAATTCACGACATACTTCGGCATACATACACGATGTCACGCGTCGATATGATCACCTTTTGTTCTGTGTGTGCAATTTCAATTTCCGACAATGGAATTTCTTTTGTGAAACCTTTATTCATGATAATGATTTAAAAGGTAACAAGATTAACCAAATTGAGAGATGCGAAACAAACATTGTTTATTGAATTTGATGGGTATAAATTCCGCCTTTGAAATAATGAAGTTTTCAAAAAAAATAAAATTCGCAAATGTTACACACTTATTTCTCTCAGAATTCTAAAAATAAACTTAAATTCATTACATGCCAAGGGATTATGGTTCTATAAAATCTTGATATATTTTCGTTCAAAAAATTTCAAAAAAAAATATGGAAGACGACGATGGTTGTAAAATTTTCAATTATGGTTACTTCCATAACATCAATTTTATGGATACAGGAGGATATGGGATTATATATAAAGCCACTCTTTTTGGGAAAATTGTTGTTTTGAAAAAATTAAAAGAAGATGGGAATGAAGCAGATTTACATAATGAGGTAAATATAAATAATGTCTTTTAATGAATTATTAAGAAAGAAATTTTTTAATTTAAGTTTTCGATTTAATGAAGATAAAACTTCTTAAAAAAGTTGGTTTTCATCCGAATATCAATTCACTCTTTGGAACTACTGAAGGTTTTTATTGTTTAAAATTTTAAACTTCTATTACTTCTATTTTATTATTATATAAATTTAATTTATTTGTAATATCTATAGATCCAAAAACTAAAAATACAATAATGGTCTTGAATTACGCAAATGAAGGAAATCTACAAAGTTATATTAGAAAAAATTGGTTAAAATTGACTTGGAGAAAGAAAATCAAATTCGCACTTGATATAGCAAGCGGGATTGAACATCTCCATAAGTTTAAAATAATACATCGTGATTTGGTACTTATTTTATTCTTTACCTTCTTTTATGTTATGCAACACACCTATAATTTTCTTTTTCTTTTTTTTAACATGTGCAGCATCCTAAAAACATTCTCGTTGACAATGGTGTATTGAAGATAGCCGATTTAGGGTGTTCAAAGATTTTATGTGAAAATTCGTTATCCAACTCAAATCTTTGTGGAATAATAGCATATATTGATCCCCAATGCTTTATTAGCTCGCGCAAAAAATTCAAGAGAAATTATAAATCGGATATCTATAGTTTTGGCATGATCATGTGGTTTATTTCTACCGGACGCCAACCTTTCGAAGGCTCTTATCAGTGTACCCCTAAAGAAATACTAGATGGATCAAGAGAACAAGATTTATCTCAAAAAACACCTCCTGAATACATTGAAATATATAAAAAATCTTGGGATTCGGATCCAGAAAAGCGACCTCAACTGATAGAAATAAAAAAAGTGTTGGAAATTCTTCAAAAACAAATAGAACAATGCTGTGAATATCCATATGATTCTATGGAACCAAAAGAAAACCTCCAAATACCCCAAATCACAAAAATATCTGATCACACACATTATTCGTATTCTACTGATTCCATCTCAAATTTTAGTTCTACTTCAAACCTTCATTATTCATGTGACCCTCCAGAACCAAAAGTAAATCCCCATATTATCATAACATCCAATTCTATTTCAACAGAATTCGATTTAGTCAAAGAATTTAGAGAATTAATCATGGATCACAAATTCATAGGCTCACTAAAAACAGAAAAAGCAGTTCAAAGGTTCTTGGAAGATTATGAAAATGAAGCACCAAAAATTTTCAATTCATTACAAGTAATGCGACATGAACGAAAGGATCTATTTCTAGCCTTATCATATTTTTATGGATTTGGTATAGAAAAAAATGTTAAAAAGTATTTGGACAACCTTGAAAACGCATTCACAAAAGATGTGTTTGCAATTTCAGAATTAGCAACTTGTTATCGTAAGGGTACTGGGGTCGAGAAGGATATTGAAAAAGCGTTTGAGCTTTATAAAATATGTGTAGAGTATGGTTCCATGGTTGACAAATGTTCATTGAGCGAGTTTTATCTTAAAGGAATTGGTGGGGCAAGAAAAGACCCAAAACATGCATTCGACTTGTTAAAAAGTTCTGCCACAGTTGGGTACATTCCTGCAATGTATTGGTTAGGATATTATTACCAATACGGATTTGGTGTTAGACAGAATTTAGAAAAGGCTGCAGACCTATATCGCGAAGTTATTCAAAATGGGGATTATAAAGATGCAAGAAAAAAACTGGAAGAATTATCAAATCAAGTATGTTAATAATTTATAATATTGATTTTACTTATATGTTTTAGACTTTATAATAACAATTCTTCTTTTTAGTCTATACTAGGGAAATTCTATTTCGAAGAAATCTTTAGGTTCTTTAGATTAACAAATAAATAATTGTTTCAAGCAGTTTTAACAGAACGTAGGCTTGTTGAAACAAAAAATTTCCATTTGTACTGTAGTTATCTATAGTAGATTCGTTTCTAACAAATAAATAAAAAACGAAATTTTGTATAATTGTTAAAAGTAGATCAGAACGTGACAGTGACTGCTGCGATACTTTGTTTTTTTATTATTACACTCAGCAAACTGGAAGATATAAGAAGCAGCCATTATATCGATGAAAAGAGATGAAACAATAGACACGACAAGCAGGAAAGATCATGTTGAAATTGCTCGCTATGGCTTTTAGTTTTTAATGTTTATTTAATTGCACCTCAAGAACAAAATTAAAATGATCAATTAAATGATAAATCAAAAGCAATCGTGTATTTAACATGTGTATTAATGAACAATAAGTTAATAAATAAAGGAAATTCTTTTTTTTAAAAAAAAAATAAAAAAATTTTTTATTAAAAAAACTATTTGTTTAATAATAATTGGCAATTTATAGTATATCATGTAATTATAAGGTTGTAAAATTAATTGTTAATAAATTTAAATTTTTTGATTCTTTTTTTAATAATTTACTGGTTGTTCGAAGCGTAACATAGACCTATTAATTATTCTACAAACTCTCGTCACGTGGTTATTCTGTCCGTTGCTCACGTAACAAATGCTTTATTTTATCATGTAGTTTCGGACTTGTAATTGTTTTTATATGGAAATTAAATTTTGTAATAAACAAACAAATAAATAAAAATAAATAAATAAAAAATTCACAATTTATTTGTTTATTATACAGAAGCTAATTTTTGTACAATACTATTAATTGTATTTGAAAAATATGTTAAATAGGATTAATATAATTATTTTTTATTATGCTGTATATAATGTAATTCAAGGATCATTTATATATTATAAGGATTTATAAATATATTTTTGATTTAAAATTAATTAAGAATAGTTGTGAAATTTATTATTATTATTATTATTATTAAATTTTCTATTTAAAATAAATTATAAATTTTCAATAAACAATATATGTGTTTTTACTATAAAATTTGAAATAAAATTTTGATTTCTAATAAAAAAAATACAATAATCAAAATAATATTTATTTTTTTTTTTTTTTTTTTTTATAGTGGAACGTACGCAAGGTGCGTGATCTTTATTGATACGTTTATATATCCAGACAGACACCAAGTGTCTCTACAAATTAACCGGAAATCGGTTGGTACATGGATACCCTTTATGTCTCTACAAATTAATCTGCAGATTAACACTGCCTAGTGCCTATAAAATAATATTTATTTATTGTACAATAAAGATTGTTTATTTTATATAAAAAAATTTTTTTTACAAGATATCTTGATAAATTTTTTGAAATTATTCTTTAAACATAAATGTTTTTGATTTTTTTTATTAAATCATAAAAATTTATTGTTTTGTAAAATTAAAAATTTTTAAATAAATAACTTAATATATGTTTTTTATTAATTGTTAAATATTATTTTAAATTTTTGAATAAAAAAAAACATATTAGTAAAATAATAATGAAAAATAATAATAAAATTAATTATAATTTATATTATAATTAAAACAAAAAAAACCTTCACTTTTTTAATTATTAAAAATTAATTCAAATGAAAATAATTTTAACATGAAATTAAAAACAGTTATTAATGATTTTATTTTATTAACAAATGAAAAATTTTAATTATTTAATTTTGAAAAATTTTCTATTGAATCTTTAGAAAATATTAATCAAAATAATAATAAAGAACTTAATTCAATTCTTTTAATAAAAGAAAAAAATATTCATATCTTATTAATTAACCAGTTTCCAATACATATTATATTCAATCAGCTGAAAATCAATTTTCAAATTTAGTTAGGTTATATAAAGATGAGATCTCTAATCTTCTTGAAAATCATAAACTGAAAATAGATTGAAGTAAGAAAGGTTATATGAGGAAAGACTTTTGATTTAACTTCTATTATAAGTTTATATCCCTTCTTGATATGGCAAATTCTATAATAAAAAACATTAATTCAATTAGATAATTTTTAAAAAAAGTACTAAAAAAGGATATAAACCTATAGAAGCAAAGTTTATAATAACTTTATAGAAGTTGTATCTTGCTTAATATTTGTACTCCTAAATTTGACAGTTTAAGCCAATCAAAATCCTATGAAATATCTACTAAAAGATTTAGGAATTGTGTTCCACTTGACCTGATGGTCTTTAAATTTGATAATATGTACTAACTATAGAAACGATTTTTGAAGCATTTATTAAAAAGTGTAAAAGATATAAGACTTGGATATCATGATCTTGTGAACTGTAAAATTACAAATGTAATAAGAAACCTAATGATGATTAACATGTTAAAATTAAGATCAGACCCTTATTAAATATAAACCAGGATATGAATACACTTATTCAGTGTAAATATTAGTATTTCGATAAAAAGGATGGGTAATGTCTATTAATATTAGCATTAGTTAATAAACTGCTTATATATAAATATTTGTAATTCCTGTTTATTCAATAAAATCCATATGTGTATTGTACTTTAGTTCTTAACAAAAAAAAGATTCATATCTTACTAATCTAATTAATAAAAAATAATTTATTAATAAATTATCATTTATAATTATTATATTATATAGTATTGTTACAGTGAAAACACGGCGAGTCAGTCGCTTCAGTCTGACTCACATCGTGTCACGTTTGGGCGGGTTCTTGCTTCTCAAAAGAGGCGTGTGAATTTGGCCAGAGTCTGGTAACGCCAACGCA